TTCCTTTGCTTTCTCCTTCTCCTCCTCCTCTTTTTTGCTCCTCTTCCGCCTCCTCCGTTGCTTTCTCCTTCTCCTCCTCTTTTTTGCTGCTCTTCCGACTTTCTCCTCCTCTCCTCCTCTTTTTGCTGCTCTTCCGCCTCCTCGTTCTCCTCGTACGCCTATTCCAACGCAATCCAAGGCTGACTGTTTCATCTTCTCCTTTGCCGTCTCCTGCACTCATGACCCCCCACGTTTCTTCCTCCTCCTCCACTTCCTTCTCCTCCACTTCCTCCTTCTCCTTCTCCTTCTCCTTCTCCTTCTCCTTCTCCTTCTCCTTCTCCTTCTCCTTCTCCTTCTCCTTCTCCTTCTCCCTCTCCCTTTCCTTCTTCTCCTCCAGGCTCTATACTGTGTCGCGATAGCCGAATCATGGTCCGTCCCATGGCCACAGCTGCTCAGTGCTGCTGCTGCTGTCCGATCTTTGGTACATTTCTCCTCCCGCCCTTCCTCCCTCTCTAGTCTCTCTCCCACCCCTCCCACTCTTTTTCTCCTTCTCCTCTCCTCCTGCTGCTCTTCTGATCTTCATGAAGAGGGTCGCTCTCTACCATGCTCCTTCCAGAAGGTATCTCATCGTTTTCTGCACTCAAGTAAGCCATACGATCTCTTCGCTGTCTCCTCCTCCTCCACCACCAATGAAACCACCACTACAACCACCACTTCCTTCTCCTCTACCCGCTTCCTCTGCTCCTGCTCCCCAACTTCTCTTGCCTCAGCGTGCTCCTCGTCTTTCTTCAAGCTCCATCTCTTCTTCCTCCCATTCCAGTGATCCACCTGCCTCAGGTTGGTCCTCTCCTCCTCGATTTCGCTGCACTCGTCGCAAGCACAGTCTTCGCGTTCTGCTGCATCGGCATGGAGCTGCTGGCACATCCAACCCACCAGTGCTCTCCTCCCGTGACCTCTGAGCTCAATGTCACCTCCACCTCGTAAGATACTCCTCTCTCCTTTTGCTCCTCCCCCTCCTCCTCCTCTTCCTCCTCCTCCTCCTCATCCTCCTTCTCTTTCTCTTCCCCTCCTCCCTCCCCTGCCTCCTCCTCCTCCTCCTCCTCCTTTGCGTCCTCCTCCAACTACTCCTTCTTATCCTGTTTTGTCCGTCACGACATTTACAGGGAAGATCTCCCCAACTTCAACACCGCCAGCTCAGGCCTCTTTTCTACCTTTCTGCTCTTCGTGGAGGACTGGAACGGGTTCCGCCTCCTCCTCCTCCTCCTGCCCTCCCACTGACAAGTCCTGCAGCCTCGTACACATTGCCGACAAGTCGGGCTCCCCTGTCAAGATTGCCTTCGTGTCTGGTGGGCAAGAGGCTTGGAGGAGATGGAGGTGGCAGATGTTGGTAGAGGGAGAGCAGGAGCAGATAGAGGAGGAGGGGGGGAGAGGGATGAACTCACGGGATTCATGTAGAAGAGGAAGAGCAAGAGAGTGAGGGAGAGGGAGAGGGAGGAGAGGGAGAGGGAGGAGAGGGAGTGGGAGGGAGGGAGGGAGGGAGAGGGAAGAAGAAGACTTCTGAGGAAGAAGGATAGAAAAAGGGTCAGAAGGAACAGAGCGTGTACGAGAACGAGGACAAGGGGAAGGACAAGGACTTGAAAGAGTTGGTGGAGGCGGTAGCGCTGAAGAGAGTTCAGGTTACTTCATGATGGGGTATGTCATCATGGGCATCGGCCTCTGCAACCTTCTTACCAACTTGGTGACGTCACCGCTCGTTCGACGGTTGTGGCTGACGGGTCGGCAGGTTGTTGAGTTCATGCAAGTCTGGCAGGCAGAGGATATCAAGGCGAGGAAGAAGGCTCTACGTGATATGCCCTCCCTCCTTCTCTGCCCCTCCTCCTCCTCATCGTTCCACCACCACCACCGCACTGTCCTCATCCTCCTCATCCTCCTCATCCTCCTCATCCTCCTCATCCTCCTCATCGTTCCCGCTCTCCTCAATCACCTCCTGCTTATCCCCCCCCCTCCCCCCCCCTCCTTCTCCCCTCCTCCCCTCTCCCCTCTCTCTCTATCCGCTGCTCCTCCTCCTGACGGCTCTGCAGTCAACAAGTTCAAAGGGGCCGCGCACGTCATCATGGCCAAGAATCGGCTCAGAAGGATGATGAGGTGAGGCAGGCTTGCACGTCGCTGCCTCTCACTTGGCTCGCAGTTTCGGCAAGGGACAAAAGAAGCAAGAGCAGGCAGCCGCCGGTCCTCCTAAATCCACCACCACCTCCCTCCCTTCCTCCTCCATGCTGTCCTCCTCCATGCTGTCCTCCTCCTCGCCGTCTACCCTCAGAGTCATCCTCATCCTCCTCAATCCTCCCGTCCTCCCGTCCTCCCGTCCTCCCGTCCTCCCGTCCTCCCGTTCTCCCGTCCTCCTTGCTCTTTTCCCTCGACCATCATCTTCTTCAACATCTCAAGTGCTGCCTTCTCCAGGCCCTCCGAAGCTCGAGAGGTTCGACACATCACGGGAGGTGAAGTCGGAGATCGCGCTCTTAGTTCTTCCCCTGATCTCTCTCTTCCTTGCTGGCAGATGCTGCAGCAAGCTAGGGAGTTGGTCAGCGAGCAACTGGTGACTCCTCACGAGCCTCCCTCCTCTCTCTCTTCCTCCTCTCCCAACACGACCTCTGCCTCTGTCTCCCATCCCTCTTCATGTTCGTAGTTTGCCTCATTCTTCTTGCAGGAGTACATGGTGGTCCCAGTCGATGGGAGCTGGAGGACGCGGCTGTGGCTGCACTCGAAGGAGGAGGAGGACTAGTCTCTCTATCGCATCTTTCCCCATCAACGATTCTGCCTTAACCCAACCACCTCTAAAAATCAGTGCAAAGTTTTTCATTATCAGCCATGAAGCTTATCCTCGTCATGAGAGTAGCTCGCATCCATCAACAGAGGTCAAAATGACGCTTGACTGCAAGCAGCAGACCATTGCCGCATCCTCCTTTCCATACAGGAGTTCAGAAGTCTACGTCCGTAACGAGGCATCGGTGAAAATCGAAGAATCAGAAAAATTACTGAGTTTTACATTGACTAGATTTGTTGACGTCCCCCTGCCCCAACTGTCAGTTCCACCACAACCTGGCTGTTGAGCTCGGGTACCGGCTTTGCATTCACCCCTCCACTCTTCTTCACAGCCCCGCCTCTCAAGGCATTGTTTTGACTACTCACACCCATGGGGCTGTTCGTTAACCCGGGGTCGACTTCTCTGTCCCTCTCCCTTTCCTTGTCCTTCTCCTTGTCACGCTCTCTCTCCCTGATCCAGCAACTGTCAGCCCATTGAGAATTCCATGCGAAGCTCAGTTCAAACCTTTCGCGGGGGCCAGAATCAGCTGGCTCAGCTTCCGCAGACAACTGGGCATTTCGTGATAAGATCTTCGTGACGAGATTGTAAAGAAAATTTGTTATGTGTGGTCATAAAGTTGTTTGGCGATCAATATCAAGTGTGCAACACGGGAACGAAAAGACAAACACTCTTTACCTCAGGGTTGGGCTCCACGGTCGCGCTGGAGCCTGACGAGCTTGCTTCCCTTTGCTTGATAGTCCAATCATACACGTAATCCAGAGTGAAATTGTGAGCTTCAAAGACCTCTCGCAGCAACTGCCAAATGTACAGTGACCACCATCTCATTCAACATAACATCGTCCTGCTACCTTTCTACAATAGTTGTAATCAGGAGTTTCTTCAAACTTTAGATTTCTGCAGTAGCAAAGGAGTGTTCCGAATTCTATAATGCAGTCAATGAAAAATGCGATGCCTGGTGCACAGGATACCCGCAGGGAGGCCTTTACACAGCTCCCTAACTGGAACGTTTTGTTTCTTCAAACAAATCTGAACGAGCCCAATTAGTGCTGCATGAGGAATAACGCGATAATGTACCTTGTGATATTTTTCTTTTTGATTTGCAGCCTTCATAGTTTCGTGGTCAAATATTTGGAGTTAATCGCTGCACATACCTGAAGCCCTTGCCATGGAAGCTGCCCTCGAAGGAAGTATAAAAGTACATAGGTGAGACCCTCCAAATCATCTCGACGGCCCTGCAAAATCATGACGATCCACCTTTGTAGAAGTAGAGTAACCTGTTCCAATCCCAGATGCGTATTAATGCTGGCGTATCTTGCTGTACCCGTCAAGCTTTTACCAGTACGGTACGCTATGTGCTATTGCGAAGTGAGCCGGGGTGCCGACATTAGAACACTACGCTTACCTGGCTTGTGCGAGGATCCACATAGCGCTTACTAAGTCCAAAATCGATAATATAGACCTATGACAGACTCCATCGGTACAAGAGAAAAGCAGAAGTTAATTGAAGCAGACCTGATGAGTTTTCCGATGTGTCCCCATTAAGAAATTATCTGGCTTCACGTCTCTTCCGAGCAGAGTTCAATTCAGTGGAAACCAGAAGTGAAATATCAGAACCTATGAAGAAAAGCTTTGCTGTGAATATACTCGAGACGGGTTATCATCTGTAAGCAATGCAGTGTCAAAAATGCATCATTTTTTCCTACACGCATGAAAACTACCTGATCGCCAACCATCAACACAGTCTTGAGTGAGAATTTACGGTGACAATAGTTGAACTGATCATGCAATTATCACGTCAGAGGATTCAAATACAAACTATTGATCTACCAGATCTTCAAGCGACGGACCAAGCAAGTCCATGATCATCACATTGGAATCACCCTCAGTGCCAACCCACAAGATCTCCGGAATTCCCTGTCCGCCACGAAGGTGTCGAAAGACCTAGGCAGGCATAATTTAACAGCTCCTTGAGATTGGATCTCACTGACCTTCGCCTCATACAGAAGCTGCGGGTGCATCGTTCTGACTGGCTCCAACTTAATAGCCACTTCGGCTCCATTGGTAACGTGCGTGCCGAGAAAGATTTCACCAAAAGATCCAGACCCTAAATCGACAATCACCATCTAGAAGATCTATAAGAGACACAAGATACCCAGTTTCTTTACAAGCTTGTACTTCTTATTCCCGCGCAACTTGAGCTCAAGGTTACGATTTGACAACCTAGTCCCACCTGAAGAATACCTGCCCTATCAAGTTGTATGAGCTGGAAGACGATGAGGATGTCGACCTGATCAGACACAAAAAGTCATCCTGGAATCGTCAAGATTCTAGAAAGCATTACATAGTGCTGCGCTGCATCTCAGGAGGTCCGATACTCTTCTGTGTCAGAAAAATCCTCTACGCATGTTCAATTCCCTAGAGCATGGTTGCAATCTGCGAAAATTCCCATGGTCAGCACATGGAGGAGAGGAAACGACGGGAGACATTGATTATCTTCAAGAGAAATCCAATATCAAACATCCGCAGACACATTCAGATATCTTTGAAACGTGAAATACATCCAGGGGACCAACTAAAGAAGGTGCTTGTTTTCGTTCACTATCAAAGGGTTATGCACTCTGTCAGATCATTCACAACGACAAACTTATGCAGACTATGATTGTCATTCAGACAGTAATTTCTTGCCACCCTGCTACTGGTTTCAAACGGCTACGTCTGCAAGGCTGCATCTTGAATGGACAGCAGTTTCACATGACCAAATCAGATACTGAACTACTGTGCAAGATTGTAAGCATCATAATAAAAGAAATGATCAATCATGTTAAGATGCACCGTAGATTCATAATGCGACCTACCATGAATACAAACTACCCCTACACACTGCAGGGTTTGCTTTCCAGCATGCTAGGCTGAGACTCTACAATCGTGACGGGGTTATGCAGGTGATCATGGTAGGACAATCAGCTCAGAGTGGTGGCATAGAAATTGCGACATGAAGGATAAATGGGATAACGACCCCACGACCATGCCCATGCCGTTGATTGCTAACACGAAGAGCCGCGGAAGCGCGCGGCATGCGCGGCACAGCGACTCTAACTCGTCCATGTATGATGGGGTGGGTGGTCGAGTATCATAGGTAGGGGTACCATGTATCCGGTGATGGCAAGCCGAAGTCACAGTGGTCACGATGACCCTACCCTGCTTCCGAGTTTTCATCTGGCAGGTACTAGTGAATTCCGTACAAGGTCATACCATCTGAGAATGAACGATCTGATTTCACTCTACCGGGGGTACCCACCTTCTCACCGGGGGTGTCACCCTCAGGCTGGTCTAATTCTCGGGGTACCTGCGTGGCGCATTTAGCCAGGGATGGACAAATGAGCGTAGGTTAAAACGATGGGGTGGGGGTTCGTTCCTGCAGGGGTCAATACCCAGGGTAGGGTGGAAAGGTTTCATCGATTGTCGGGGGTGGTGGGTGGGTGGGGTACTAGGTCAGATGTCGGATTGAAGTGGGTAGGGTCTGACGATTGGGAAAATGTCAGTCAAAGATGGGGTAGTACGAGAGAGGCTCTTGCATGACCCCTGCGAAAATCACTCGCTGTCAGGAAGATAACCGCTGATTGGGGTGGGTACTATCACCCCACCAAGCTCAGTAAATAAATTACTACCCACCTTGGTGTCTACCTCTAGTTTCGAGGGATCGACGGGGTCCTACGGAAGCCTACCCAACTGACCCTACCCTTATGAACAACTGATTCCGCCCTCCACACTTGTAAAGTATATATATATATATATATATATATATATATATATATATATATATATAACTTTTACTTTTTATATTTTAGCCATTTGTTATGATCCGTTTCCTTTGCCACTCCTGAATATAACTTTTTAAGTAGTTTGTGATTCAAAACAAGTTGTTGCACAACAGTTTTATACTGGTACAAAGAATCGAGGTACGAGACTGATATCTCGGTATATGAAATCGTTTTTAGACAGATTATTTGTACCGCTGAACGTTTCCTGCACCGACAGAATCCGTACAAATCAAAAACTACCTCTTTTAGCTCCCCTAGTGCAACTTGGCTGTTGGTACCCTACCTACCCAACCCACAGCAGGACCCTACCGTTCCCACCCCACAGAGACGGCCATGAGTTGAAATCCCGAGTTGACTAAAATCAAGATTGAAACTCAAGATCTCCGAGGCTCTCAGTGACTCACGACGTTTTGAGTTCACGCAAGGCCCGGGCCGCATCAGAGTCCGGGGCGGGTCGCCGGGCCCGGGGACTGACGGCCGGTCCGATCGGCCGCAGCGCGGGGCCGCACCGACTTCGAGCTGGCACGGTCAGGCTACCGGAGGGCGCTGAGGTCACCGGTCGGCTGGCGTACAGAGTCGGAGCCCTTAGGGCGCGGCGCCCGACGGCCACTGCACTACTAGGCTACGTAGCCCGCGGACTCCCGTCCCGGATCACCGCTGTGCATGAGTCGAACTTCGCCGCCGAACTTCGGAACTTGAAGCTCACCGAGTCACCATGAAGTCTAAACTTACCGATGACTTACCGATTTAACAAACGTGACTAATTATTTGGCCACCCGTACGGTCATGGTTCGCCGGGCCCCACAGTGCCACTCGGCGGCGGTGCGCACGTCCGGGTGCCTGAGTCACTGAGTTGTGCCACCGTAGACTCCGGGAGTCCGCCGGACCGAGAGCATTGCCAGGCTGGGCCAGGCTGTCACAGCCAGTGTGCCGGGCATTGAGGGCCGGAGCGCCTGCCGAGTTCAAGGGCCGGGTCATGGCAAGTTAAGTTGGGACGCCGCCGGCAGGCACCGCCGCTGCCCGCCAGGGGCAAGTTCACACAAATGATCAGAGCCTGGGCTCAGACCGTCGACGATCCTCAGGCTCGGAGGAAAAAATCTGTTACGTCGAGTATCTTCCGAAGTTCACTGAAGAGTCCACCATCACGGTGGCACTGAGACGGCCAGGGGGCAGCATGAGATTCTACCTGACAGACGTTAAGTGACGGTGGCCGGTGGGCTGACTAGACAGTAATGTTGCCGTCCTTGTCCTTGAAGCCGATCATCTGCAGAGCAGCTGCGGTCACAGAATGTCTGCCCTCTCGCTCTTATGCCCTCAGCCTCACCACACAGTACTCGTCGAAGTCGATCTTGCCGTCCTTGGAGGTGTCATACTGCGGCGACTGTGTCAACCGTCTCCTCCTCTGGTTCTCGTCGTCCTCACCATGCTCATCACGGCTTTCAGCTGGTCGTCGGTGATGTACAGCCCTTGCTGCCGGGCTCACGTCAGCGCATTTCCTAGCTCGCCCCCGTCCACGTCACCAGGCGATAGGCAGACTTGAGCTCCTGCGACGCCATCCGCAAGGTCAGCGCGAGAAGTCGATGAGAGTTGAACACGATAGATGAGAGAGGACGAGGAGAGGACGAGGAGAGGGCGAGGGCGAGCAGCACACAAGGGCTGCAGCAGCAGGAGCAGCCTGAGCAGGTGAGGAGCGAGAGAATGGAGACGATAGAGAGGAGCGAGGGGGTCGGGGCCGGGGGCGGGGGGGGGAGGAGGGAGGAGGAGAAGATCAGGGGTGACGAAGAGGGAGGACGCGTAAGTGCAGTCTCACCCCTGGCTCGATGTAACCAGATCCATCCGTGTCGATGGCCTTGAAGACTCGACCTGAGCCAGACTTCAGTTCGCTCCCATCTGAGCGCATCGTCTCTCACGAGCTTCTGCGAGCGGATCGAACATGTCTCCGAAGTCCTTGCCTATTCGTCCACCTGTCTCATCCCATGCCTCGCACAGCACGACAGCACTTCACCTCCGTCAACAGGATGCATCTCCTTCTCCCGCACCTGCCGTGAGATCGTCAGCTCGACCGCAAGGCCATGCGCAGGGAGGAAACCTCGATCTGAGGCTTCACTTGCTCGTCGTCCTGGGCTGCACGTCAGGTGGCCAGGGACTCGAGGAGGAGAGAGAGGATGAGGTATGAGGAAGAGTCTAGCCAGCAGAACAACAAGAGGGAGCAAGCAGGTAGCCGTGCGGATAAAAAAGTCTTGAGGTGGAATGAGATGCAGCGAGACGCGACTACCTTGGACCTGTCAACAATGTGCTCCTGGCTAGGAACACCTGGAGAGAGGGGAATAAGAGGCAGTGGATAGAAGAAGTAGATCGAGCAGTAGATAGAAGAAGTAGATCGAGCAGTAGATCAAGCAATAGATAGAAGAAGTAGATCGAGCAGTAGATAGAAGAAGTAGATCGAGCAGTAGATCGAGCAGTAGATAGAAGAAGTAGATCGAGCAGTAGATCGAGCAGTAGATAGAAGAAGTAGATCGAGCAGTAGATCGAGCAGTAGATAGAAGAAGTAGATCGACAAGTAGATAGAAGAAGTAGATCGAGGAGTAGATAGACGAGCAACCATCTTCAGGAGTGAAGTCATAGTCTTCAAGGCCTCTGATTGCCCCTGTAAAAACGAAGTCACTTCCGGGCTCTCACGAGCCCCTCCTGCCCCTGTGCTTGTCTTGCCTCCTTTCCTCTCCGCCCCTTACTCCTCCTCCTCTCCTCCTCCTCCTCTCCCTCCTCTCCTCCCCACCACCACCACCACCACCATCCTCATTGTCCACCTCCGTCTCTCTCCTATCTCCTGTCCCTTACATCCCTTCTCCCTCCTTCCATGTATCAAATGCATCACATTGGCCGACGTATTCCACGAGGTTGTAGGCCGGGTTGCAGACGTAGTCGTAAGCGACGAAGCAGTATCCATCAACTCCCCACGTGCTGCAGATGCTCATGACCTTCTGCTCGTCGAGCAACTTCCCTCACCTCCCCCAGCTGTTCCTCACGATGAAGCATTGGTCGGGGTCCGAGTACCTGCCACGTCCTCCTGGTCATCCACCGAGGCGGAGACTTCCCGCCGTCTACCCGACGAGCAGAAGGGCATGCGCGCCATGCTCAGAGGCGTCGGGGTCGTTGGGGTCGGGCTTAGGAACGTAACCGCTGTGAGGCGCTGAGAGAAGGCAAGAGGAGGAAGGGAGGAGGCGAACTTCTTGGCAGGCTTCATGAAGCTCTCGGTCAACTTCAGCCCGAAGACGATGGGGAAACCGTCCGACAGGCACGTCTGCAGCAGCACTCAGCCGGTACGTCTGCATGCTCCGAGAGACTTTCCTTCATGGTCTGGAGGTCAAGTGGAACTTTCAAAGCATCTCGGATCTTGTACTTCAGGGCCTGTAGCTCTACTGCTCAGCTCAAGAGGTTGGAAGGAGCTAGGTACCTCCTCGAAGCAATGTTCATGCGGCTTCTGGTTGATCTTGCTCCCGTCAAAGTCCCAGTTCTTTTCAAGGCACGCTCCCTTGCTCTGTCGCAACAAGCATGAAATGTCCGGCCTCATCAAGTTGACTCTGACGCAAACCTGAAGAGCCTTGATGGCGCCGTCAACCTGCAGGTGGTCATTGTCAGCAGCCGAAGAAGAACCACGTCGTCGAGCATACAGTCATCCCGCCATCCTCGAGCGGAAGGTGCTCCTCATTGTACACTGAGTTCGCAATCACTCCAAGGTGAAGCTATAGCTCCATCGTCTCACTTGCAGCGTCGGCAAGGCGACCGACGTAGTAGATGAAGAGCCTGCGCCATGTTGTTAGAGCAGCTTGCGTCACCTGTTGCCGATCTGATACGGATTACCTCGAGATATCTCCTACGGTGTCTCCGGTCTTCTCTGCCTGCCGCTTGCACAGGTACTCGTAGGCTCCCGCCACCGCGTTGGCGCAGCAGCTGCCATGGATCAGCTACCTTTCCCTCGGCATGGGCGACCCTCACGAGTTTGTCTGCCCCTGGTACTCGACGTCGGTCATCCACTTGCCTACCGGACAATATGAGTGGGGCGACGAAGCGATGATGCAGCCTACGGAGGTCCATCCTGTCCGGGACGCTCGCCTTGGGCTTGTAGACCTCCACCGGACGAGCAGACCCGAGTCTGACTCTGCCTGTGGCTGGTTGCTTCTTGGGAGGGATCTAGAAGGCTCCACAGTCATGCTCGTTCTTGATCGCTCCTCTGCTGCTCGGAACAATCCACAAGTTTGCAGGAGGACCAGGCGCAGCAGGGGGAAAGGGAAAGTAGAGGTAGTCTCAAGACCAAGGGAGGAAGAGAAGCCTGGGAGGAGAAGCCTGGAAGGAGCGAGACGTGCAGCAGCAGCAGCAGCAGCAGCAGCAGCAGCCAGGGGGGGGGGGGGCTCCGGGAAGCAGCAGCAGCAGCAGGGGCAGGCGGCCCGGAGGGCAAGAGCAGTAGGAGAATCAAAGTTGGAGCATGCTATCGTCACCCTGAGGCCTCTGTTGGCGATGGCAAGGCCATCAACAACGACGTAGTGGTGCGAATCTTTGGGTTCCGAGGACATGGCGACTGCTGACGCGCTGGTGAGCGGAAGTTGCGGCAGTCCTTTCAGGTATCCTTTGACTACCTGCTATGGCCGCGTAGTAGTACCCGGTACCGAAGTTGACAAGTCAACCCACCAAACTTGCGGCAGTGCATTTCCGAACGGCAGGGTCTGAGGTATGCCCTCTGACATTAGTGGCTGAATTAATGAACGGAAGTCCAATGAAGTCACTGTGAGTCGGTGGCAACCGTTGAACCCGGCGCCCTCACCCTAGGACTTGCTCCTTGGCCCGGCGTCCGAGTCCGATCCGAGTGCCGCGGCCCAGCGAGTCACGGGGGACAGCAGTCGGCAGGATTAGGTTTGGTTCTCGCTGTCTTTTCTCTTCTCTCCGTTTGGCCTGTGCGACAGTGTCAGGGTCAAGCCTCCTTGACTCTCCCCGGAGTCCTGATTGTCCTCGTACTGATTTTTAACTTAACTTTGAGTCACAAAGGAAAGCCTTCAGTTGGCCCGGCGTCCGAGCGGGAGCCTGTCCGAGTCTGGCAGTCACCACTGGGGCACTGAACGGTCATTGAGGGCCCCGCCGGCCCCCGAACTTCGGAAACTTCGGACTCTTGAAACGGGCCACTGCCAACCGGGGCGGCCCGGCCGCGCCGCGGCCGGGCGGCCGGCCCGGCCCGGGCGCCGGGCGGCCGGGCGGGGGCCTTACTAGGCAGTTACTAGCAACCGGGTGACTCACTGCCGTTGTCAGCCGGCGTAGTAAAGCCCGGGTGCTTGAGTCGGACACCGTGGCTCCCGAAGGCCCGGCCGGGCTGAGTCACCGGCGGTCAGTGCCAGTGCCACGGAACGGTTGAACGACGGTGGCCCACCGGTGACCGTGGCTCCGAGTCACTGTCGGCGAGCCTCCGAGACTGAGAGACTTCAAACTTAGACACAGCGAGCTGCGGCCTGAGGGACGGAGTCGGAGTCAGAAATGATCATGGCGGGACTGCCGCTGCCGGCGGCGGCGGGCCCGGAGCCTTGAATGGCCCGGCGGGCCTGCCGCGGGCAGAACAGGCCCGGGCCGCCTGGGCGGCCCGTCACTACGGCGGCCGCTGAGGGGGGACGAGAAAGCCGCAAAGCGGCGGTTGACCGTACGGTTAAAAGTCGAGTTTGACCTGCCATGGCTCCGAAGCCCAAGACGAAGGCAGAGCTCAAGGCAGAGGCAGCGGCGGAAGCAGCTCGACTAGCAGAGATTGCTGAGCAGGTGAAGGCGCGGCGAGAGGAGAGAAGGAGACTGAGAGGGGAGGAGGAGACTGTGAGGAGAGGAGAAGACTGAGATTGCAGCAGCAAAAAGAATCATCGGCTAGTTAAAAGTAGCTCCGACCGATGCTGTAGAGTCCTCGGATCGTTGTAGGAAGGGCGGAGGGATGGGAACTCAAGAGGGAAAAGCTGGGATATAACCTCGTGAGGTGGGATCAGCCTGAGAATGGTAGGAACTAGACCGGAAGGTCTATCACGGCAGTGGGTGCTACGTCAACGATCTATGACGGATCTTAGCAAGTCCAGAGGTCCTGGCCACTGACGCTCCGACTCTTGTTTCCTCTCAGGAGCGACTGGAACGGGAGAGGAGGGAGGCAGAGGAGTATGCGGCCGCACAGCATGCTCGGCGAGAGAAGGTAGCATCCTACCCCCCGTCGCTTTTGCTTTCTGCCTGCTGTCTTCCTCATTGGATGACGCAGATCAAGAGCGCGGGGGAGGAGCTTCAGTCACAGGACGAGGAAGTACAGGAGGAGCGGAGGCAGCGAGCTAGCGAGGTTGCTCTCATGCAGCAGAAGGAGGAGGAAGAGCGAGAATCCGAGCGGTTCTTCCAACCGACACACCTGCCGGTGCGACAGGGTGCTGGAGGGACGGCGACTGAGCTGGGCAGGAGCAGGACGTGAGGGATGAGGCTGATCTGAACTCCTACATCCACGAGCTTCATGTCCCAGACTCCATAAACATGTTGCAAGATGCTGTCAAGCAAGCTGACGAGATGCTCTTCATCTGTCATGAGTTGTCCGTGTACCGGTAGGCGCAGATGATGATGACGATGATGGAGATGATGGTGATGATGATGATGATGATGATGGTGATGGTGATGAGGATGAGGATGAGGATGAGGATGAGGATGAGGATGAGGATGAGGATGAGGATGAGGATGAGGATGAGGAGCAGGAGGAGGAGGAGGGGGGGAGGGAGCAAGATCTTGCCTCGGTGCTGCTCCATGCAGAGAGAGATGCTGATAGAGGCGAGGGCTGGCTGGTTGGTTACAATGTGCACGCGGGGGTCATAGGTGTCGTTGGTAGAGGCCAAAGCGCTGGGTGTGCGAGGGGATCGTGATAGATGCTTGATGCGTCCAGGGAAGATGCAAAGTCCAACAACAGCAGCGCTTGCCAGTCGTGCGAGCAGTTTCGAAGGCGCCTCTTCTCCGAGATGTTCTCGACCTTCGACAAGATCTGCAAACAGCTGGTTGCCTTGCGGACGGCGTCGATCATCCTCCGGTGACGTTGGAAGCAGTTGCTGCGGCGAGACGAGTTCACCAACGAGAAACACGAGATGCAGCTGTCGCAGAGGGGGACGAGGATGCGACTCGGGCTGTGAGGAGAGGCAGGAAGAGAGGGTAGGGGCTGACGGGGAGCTCAGGTGGGTGAATGTTGCGAAGAACCTGAGGCTGAAGGCTGTGGACTACTCAGGTGACGAGACGTTGGTCTCCCCCGCCAACAGATGTTTTGATAGCCCTTTGATGCTTCCTTGTGATGTGCCCTCAATATTTTCGTTGCTCTCGTCCTTTTGGATCATGCTCCTGTTCTTGTCCTGCTTCCTTCATCCCGCCTGTCGTGTGGCCTGAAGGGAATTCTCTGCTGCCCATCGCCTGCCATTGAGCTTCAGGCACATACATCCCAACAGGCTCCTCTCCTCCCATCGCCATCACTCGCTGACACGAACATCCACGTCACATCCTTTCATCGCAGACCTTGGCCTCGGCACGGACATTCCTCGTCCCATCATCACCAACAACGTCGCCCTGCGTCTGCTGCACGTCCCCGACGACCCGTTTGTCTTCGGAGAGAGTGAGCAAGGCGGCTGGGGGTGGGTAGGACCCTCCTTCACAGTCTTGGCAGGCGACCAGTTTGCGTGTACCCTGGGAGGGGTCCTCGTCATCGAGATCTTGGAGGTGACTCGGGGGATAGCTGGGCGAGGTAGGGGAGGGGTGGGGGCTGAGAGGAATGCTGGCAGATGGAGCGTCTCCCCAAGGTCGTGAAGGGATGGCACATGCTGGAGGTAATGGCGGCGCTTCGATGAGCTTCCTAGCAATGTTGCACGATTAAGTTGTTGAGGAGGGAGGGAGGGAGGGAGGGAGGGAGGTGTGTTCTTCGTATATCATCACTTTTGTTGTTGTCATTCCTGTTGTCATTGCTGTTGATCTTGTCGCAAGGTGAAAGAAGGAGACGATAAAGCGAAGAAGATCGAATATGGACCTGTTGATCCCATCACTGGGATCAGAGAGAAGGTGACCCTGCTCTCCTTTTCCCTGCCCCAGTCCTCCTCTCCGTTCCTCCTTCTCTCCTGCTCCTTTTTCTTTCTATCCTGTCCTCTTCTTCTCTTCTAATCTGCTTTCCCTCCCCTCCCCCCTCCTCTCCTCTTCTCCTCTCCACTGCCTCTCTCCGCTGTCCCCCCTCCCCCCGCCTCCCTTCACCCCTACTCGCTGCTCTTGTGACGTCTCAACTTACTCTTGCTCAGGTCCCTCCTATGACGGTGAGGTACACCTTGCCCGAGGACATCCTCCTCTTCGAGCCTCCGGTCATCGCGCGATACGACCAGACTAGTCAGACGTGGGTTGAAGAGGACATCAACGACACTGTCGTCTCCGAGGACTCTCCTGTGAGCTCCTCCTCCTCCTCCTCCTCCTCCTCCTCCTCCTCTTCCTCTTCTGATCTCTCCCCTCCAGCCCGTCGTGTCGTTCTCCTCCCGCCAGCTCGGTCCCTTTGCGATCATGCAGGTTGTGCGGTGCTCGAGCATGTGCTGTGAGGGCTGAGCAGGGGGGCAGGACGTCCGTCAGCACCTCCCGTATCTTTCATGGGAGCTGTCGCCGCTGGAAGCAGGTTGGAGTTTGACGTCCGTTGAACTCTCTCAACGAGGAAGGCAGGAGGCTGCAGGATTGACCTGCAGACTCAGAGCTGCTCCTTGCAGATCGAGGTTTCAAAGGTTGTGACTTTTTTTTTCGCTTCTTGTTCTTTCTGCCCGTGTCAAAACCCCTCGCGCTCACTCCTTGAGCAAGGATGGCTGCAAGCTCTGCTCCCTTCCAAAGTCCTTGTACAGCACCATGGTGGACGGAGAGTGAGGGAGGAGGGAACCACGAGTGCGGCAGCTCACGGGCTGAACAGGAAGAAGACAGACAAAGTCTCGCCTGCTGTTTTGTTCTTCCACCTGAGGGAGATGGGAGTCTTCCTGGAGCCAGAGCTTGACCGCAACCATGTCCGGCCGCCGTCCTTGCCTTGTCCTCCCACTGACCTAGTGGCGATCAGCTGAGCTTGAGGAAGAAGAGCCTGGAGATTGAGATGGACGTCTGCAGAGGGATAAGCAGGATTGCACAAGGTAAGCGGAGGGAGGGGAAGGGCAATGGGAAAGAAAGATGGAGGAGGAGAAGAGAAGAAATTGAGAAGAGGTTGCGTGCAGGAGGAGGAAGAGGAGGAGGAGGAGGAGGAGGAGGAGGAAAAGCAGGAGCAGGAGCAGGAGCAGGAGCAGGAGCAGGAGCAGGAGCAGGAGCAGGAGCAGGAGGCGGATCATCTGCAGCTAACTTTTCTTGCAGACTTCTCGGTCAAGATTTCGCAAGTCAACAAAGAACTTCCTCCCTACATGGCTGGTCACGTACAGCTGACCTCCTCGCGCGTTTGTAACGTCTGTTGCAGCCGTTTCGATCAAGCCTGCGGAGTGGGCGGGTGAGAGAGATGCGGGCAAGGACGACTGGCGTCTTGCCTTGTTTAGGGAGAGGTGTGCCCTGATGATGCTGCTCCTGCTCCTGCTCCTGCTCCTGCTCCTGCTCCTGCTCCTGCTCCTGCTCCTGCTCCTGCTCCTGCTCCTGCTCCTGCTCCTGCTCCTGCTCCTGCTCCTGCTCCAACCGCCGCTGCCGCTGCGCTCCTTTCCTCCTTCTTCCCCTCCTCCGAGGTGACGGCGATGATTCGGCAGAGGAGAAGCGAAATTCGAGGTCGAGGACGAGCTGAGGTGCTGCTACGTTGTTCCGGACGAGGTCCTCAAGCAAAAGCAGCCGCCGCAGGAGGAGGAGAAAGATGTAAGTCAGCTGCGAGTTGATGCTCGTGCTTCCCTTTCTGTTCCAGCAGCAGTAGCTGCTGCTGCTGATCAGTTTTCCTCTCCTCCTTCTTCTACATTTGCACTCACTGCGTGTTTGTTGTGATGAACGCAACTGTCGTTATCATGATGAGTTCTGCATCACAGGTGAACAACGAGGCTGCCGTTGAAAGCCAACCACCCGAACCAACAGAGGAAAAGAGCCTAAAAGACAAGGTCAGAGAGACGGGAGAGAGGAAACATCACTGAGATTCGGAGCGAATCAGTTAATGGAGATGGACATTTTCAAGACAAGCTTTGGGTTTGTCTTGATATGATTGTAATTGAGTATGCATTATGATTATATCGACAGGCGCTACCTTGATCAGTCTGTCAGACTGTTTTTCCAGGGTGAAGGAGGTCAAGTGACTGATATTCACTCTTTTATTGTTCTCATCGCGAATTCTCCTTAGCGCATCCTTTTCCTGCTTTCAACTCACTTGTTTTCTTCGTGCTGTTATCGTTCTTCTTTTCCCTTCACTCTCCTTCCCTCTTGCTACTTTTCTTGCATTGCACACCATCTTTGCTCCGTTTCCCCCTCCTTTCTCTTCTACACCTCCTGCTCGTCCCCATCTCCCTGACCCTCCACAGGATCTGAAAGATCTTTCTCTTCGTCGTCAATGTTCACACACAACCTGGAGGAGGTAAGTCAGCAGCCTCTCGCTCCCCAGCCCCTCCCACCCAATCCTTCCTCGCTCGCTCCCTTAGCCTCTCTCTCCTTTCTTTCCCTCCTCAAGCTCTTTTCGACCTTCTCATGATCGGCATCTTCACCCTCTCCTTCTTCAGCAAGAGCAACCTGCTCCTGCTCCTGCTCCTGCTCCTGCTCCTGCTCCTGCTCCTCGTCCTCCTCCCCTTTCCTTCAGTCTTACCTCTACAACTTCTCGCCCCCTCTCAGGTGCTAAAGAGGCTGCGGCTAGTCAGCTACGAGGCTGATCCGGTCCGAGCTCTGAGGTGAAACTCCATGCGACTACAATTCCAGTTGACATGGCGCGAGCAGCGAAACCCCTGGCGGCGAGAAGGAGGAGGAGGGGCAGGAGGAGGAGGGGCAGGAGGAGAAGCAAGAGGCCGGCGGAGCTGAACTGCAGGAGAAGGAGGAAGTGAAGGAGGAGGAAGAGAGTGAGAGGATCTACCTTGAGGGGAGGAGGCTGACGATGGCTGCAGACAAGGCGGTCAAGGATGAGAAGCCAGCTGAAGGATAGCGAGGAGTTGCTGAGGTTGGATGGGCTTCTTGCGCCTGTTTGAGGCTGAGCGAGAGGGAAGGGCAGGTGGACCGAGGACGAGGAATGAGAAGAAGACAATAACACTAGCAAGAAGGTGGAAATGGGGATGAAGATGATGATGAAGATGACGAAGGAGGGGATGGAGAACAGTGGGAAGGAGGAGGAGGAGAAGGGAGTGAACCGAGCGTTGAGGGAGAGGAGAACAAAAGGCACCAAAGGGGGAAAGTTACGAAGAAGCACCGACGAGGCTAATCAGACGAGACGATCAAAGTGACATCCTTATTACCACAGCGAGACATCACTGATCTACTCAGACATCGATGCCCTTGCCCATCCTCTCAACAACCGACCACCTCTCGCATCTGCCTCATCCTCCACCCTCATCCTCTCCCCATCTCCTTCCTCTCTCTCCCCATCTCCTCCTTCCCCCTTCCTTCTCTCCTCCTCCTTGACTCACCCTCTATCCCCTTGACTCTGTTCCCTTCCCTTTCCCCCTCTCCGTCTCCGTCTCCGTCTCCGTCTCCATCTCCGTCTCCGTCTACCTCCTCCGTCCACTCGAGCTGTGCTCTTGTTCTCATGAGACGGGGCAAGACGGGGCTGAGCAGCAGACTCTCCCCGGGAAGGACTGCGAGAACTGGTCAGCCAATGATGCGAGGGCAGCAGATTGTGACCAGAATCATCAAGTGAGTGTTCATGAAAGGATATGGGAGGGGGGGGAGTGATGGTAGGAAGAGGAGGAAGGAGGTGGTCAGTCTTAAGGAAAGGGCCCAGAAGAGATGAAGAAAACAGAGGGACATCATCTTGATTATCATCATCATCATCATCATCTCCATCATCTCCATCATCATCATCATCATTCTCCTCCCTCTTCCTCCTCCTCCTCAGTATCATCATCAACATCATCACAGTCTTCTCCTCAAGTGCTCACTCGTGCTGGCATTCGATACTCAGCGATGAAATCGAGAGGTCGAGGAGGAAGAGGCTCCCATCTGCACGCCGCAATCGTAAGCTCTCCTCCTCCCTTCCTCCTCACCATCCTTCCTCCCTCTCCTTCCTTCCTTCCTTCCTGCCTGCCTTCCTCTCCTCTCTTCTCTACATCATCCGAGCCTCCCGCCTGCATTCTTCACTCCATCTGCTGCTTCACTCTCCTCCTTCTCTCCCTTTTTCTCTCTCAATTATTTTACCCTCTTCCCTTCCTATCTATCTTTGCTCACTTCTTCCCCCCTCCCACCTTCTTCTGCACTCCTCTCCTCTCCTCTCCTCTCCTCTCTGCCTCGTTCCTCTGCTCATCGCTGCTCATCTCCCCCTCCTCCCTCCCACTCTTCTCCTATTGTACCGGAATTGCGCGACAGTCAGCTGCACATGCAGCAGGGGATCCTCCGGCCCCCGCCCGTTCTTGAGAGTCAAAGTCAACATGACAAAGAGAGCGAGAGAAGGAAGAGCAGGCGCAGTGAGCTAGGAGGAGATCGAGTCCAAGTAGGACGATGCACAGAGGATGTATGCATGCATGCATGCATGGAGAGAGAAAGAGTGTGCGACACAGGTTGAAAGTGAAGGCAGTGAATGGAAGTGGCCGAGGGGACGAGGAAGACGGAGAAGGGAGGACGAGGGAGAGACGTCCAGCATCTCTTCAGCACATACAGACAGCTAAATCTTACCCTGAGCCCCTGGTTCAGCTTCACAGGGTACCACTCGTCGACCGTCTCCCCGTTCTCGATGTCCTGCAGGGTCCATGGGCATCAGCAGCAATCACGTCCTCGGAGACGACGTCACGTGTAGGCGAACTATCACGCTCCCGACGAAGGTATGGCTCCCTGGAAACAGCAGCACACTTCACAGGGCAGCTTCCACGGTCCGTCCCGTCCTTACCGCTCTTGTGAAAGCTGTATATAACCATCTCCAACTCAGCGTTGTCCTCCTCAACCTGGCATGGGAGCAGCCATAGCGTCAGAGCAGGCGAGTCGTCAATGTCGGATGTTCTCCTCGCATCCTTCATCGCACCATGAGGGAAAACTCTTCGTCCCATGACGGCCGCAGCGTCCTTGGCTTCACAAAAGTCGCGCAAGTCTTGGATCCCATGCTCTGTATCTGCCGCACGCGTCAGGAGCTCTTAGATAGACTTGACAGGATTGCGGTACCACCCTCGAAGAAACGAAAAGATGTATATCCGGCAGTGCCCTTTCGCACGTTTCTAGCGTCTCTGTGTTCGCAATTGTTATCCATCCTCATGTTTTCCGTGTGTCCTCAACAAGCTTCATCATCATAATCATCATCATCATCGTCATCGTCGTCGTCATCGTCATCGTCATCGTCGTCATCATCGTAGTGGTAGTCATCGTCATCGTCATCGTCGTAATCGTCATCCTCATCATCGTTGTTTTTGTCGTCGTCAATAGCATCATCATCATCACTCACGCGGTATGACTGGAGCAAGGCAGCGCAAGTCGCATTCCAGCACCTTCAACCCAGCAGTGAGCAACAAAGAGGAGGGGGCTACACGCATCTCACTCTCAAGCGCAAGCTAGTCATGTCAACAGCTGTGCCGAGCTAATAGTCTTGGAGTTCCAATGAGTCAGGCTGAAACGGAGCAGTGGATGGGGAAGAAGGCAGAGACGGATGGGACGAGAGGAAGGGGAGGGGAGAGGCAGGGAAGCATGAAGAGGTAAGTCCGAAGAAAGCAGGATATGGCAAGACTAGATCGAAAGAAACGAGAGAGCTGGAGATATGCAGGCAAGGGAGATCAAGGTTGGGAACATGAAGCCATTCTCGTCAACATACCTCATTGCACCTGCAACAGTCGTCAACAGGGGCACATAAATATTCTTCACGCACACTCTCATGATAACCCCCCCCCCCCTCCCTCCCCCCGCCACCTAATCTCTCTCTTCTCCCTTTTCTTGCTTTCCTTGTGTGCTTATGGTTGCTCCCTACCTCATCTCACACCACAGCGACTCTGTGCGGTGCTCATGCATACCCATCCCTCATCTCTCCTCCTTCTCTCCTCCTCCTCTGCCTCTCTTCTTCCTCTCTCCTCCTCCCCCAACCTGACTATCGCATGTTGCTCCACTTTTAGTACCTGTGCTCCTCATCCCCGCTACTACCCACTCCCTGGTCAAAATCGGACCCCTGGATCGGACCAGGATCGGACAGCAAGTCCGCCCCCCCCCCCCGCTCCCCCTCCTCCCCCTCCTCCCCCTCTTCCTCCTCCTCCCCTCCTGCCTCCAGTCCTGCCTCCCCTCCTCCCCTCATCTCTTTCCTCTGTGTTACCCATCCTTCCTTCCTGCATACCTGCAGCCCCCCCTCCCCCAACTCCTCCTCCCTCCTGCCCGCCCCCCGACCCCCTCCCCCCTCCAATTTTTCGCTCTCCCTCTCTTCCGCCATCCCTTCTCTGCCCCTGAATCCTTGCATAGCTTCTTGACAATTCTTTTTGGATCGCAAGGATCGCAACATGAAGAAGTACGACACGTGGAAGGAGACCTTACGCTGCGACAAAGCGTGAGGGCAAAGGCGCGAACGCTGCAACATAAAGGGAAATCACTGCAAGGCTATTAGATACGGTCAGCTGAAAGCTAAGCTGAAATGTTACAGGCCTGAAAATTGTCATGTTCCGAGATTCATATTGGAGACCTTCGAAATTTTGTTCTATTTTACTCCCTATGTACTTCTGCGCATCAATCATTGTATAACATTATCTACCTAACATATTCTGGTTTCGATGGCTGCATGTAAGCCCACCACGTGTGAAACTCTTGTGTATATTCATCGTAACATTTCTCTCGTCTCCTTTCACACATCTATATAACGTAGTCATAAACTCCCCCCATAAAGTACTCGTTCCCTCCCCCTGGCATGTACTCCTCCAGCCACCCCAAGCCCATCCCCTCCCCTGACTCCGTCATGTCCACAAACGCCCCCTCTCCCGGCTGCCAGTCTGACATGCTGCACCATCCGTCTCCCGTCTCCCGTCGCCTCTCTCCTCCTCCTTCCTGACCCTGTGATGGTCCCGGCTCGACACTGCCAGAGCTGAGGCTTCCAGCCGCCGACCCCGCGTTGTCCTCCTCCACGTGCATAGCCGTCGATGCTCCTGTGTCCTCCGACGCCTCCATCCAGCTGCTTGGCCTCGTGCTGGTGTCGACATGGTCGAGCTCGATGCCGTCGAGCTCGTCTCCTACAGGCGAGCTGCCATGCGAGCCGACGATGTCTGAGGGGGAGCTGATGTAGTCGACGGGGGAGCCAGCTGGGCTGGGGGAGGACTGGCGGCATCCTCGCTTGTAGGGCCAGCGGATGATACCGAGCTTCCTGCAAGCGATCTTCAAGCTGGTCAAGGCCACGCCCTGGGGAAGGTGCACGTAAGTACGCAAGGCGGAGCAGGCCTCCGAGAGCGGGGGGGAGGGGAGGAGCGAGGGGGAGATGATAGGGAGAGGGAGATGAGCGGATGCACTGGAGGAGAGGAGGGAGAGGAAGGGGTACCAGGAAGGAGGCAGCGTCTTCTTGCTTCATGTGGAAGAGGTCTTGCAGCAGTTGGTTGGTGACATGGACGGGCTTATCCTTGCGGATGAGACCGCTCTTGGTTCTGGACTGGATTACAACTGTACGAGGATGATCAATCTTTGCTTTAGGCTTGGTGCTAGCTGAGAGGGGATGGGTAGGATATGAGGTCTGCATGGGTTGAATGTCGTCAAGATTTCTGCAAACAGGTTTATTGGTTTCTGCTGACTTGTTCGGAACGCCTCCCTTGCCCTCTACGGTTTGCTCCAGGGGGCTTTCTATCTCGCTGATTCTTTTTTTGGACAGGTCATGCTGAAAACGAGTGATTTCATACTCCGACTGTTTCATCGAGTCAGCCGGCACATGGGCGCTGTGAGTCTGCACGGTGGCACGTCTACACCGTTGACCGTGACCGAGCCTCTGGGAGCGGCCGGCGCTCCGTGGCACTCTACTACACGGTACGACCATTTCTTTACCGTCAAAGTTAAGTTATAAATCAGTACCGTACCGTCGGAGCCTCGGAGGACACGGTACAATCCGTGACGGATCGGACCATAGCGTTGCCTTTCTCAATTGACCTTGGAGCTCTAAAACGTTTCGCGGTGAGGGTGGTAGATTCAAATCCACGCATACCACGCCTCATGTGGGGGCGGGGTGGGTCTTCCGACCGTGTTCCGAATTCAAATCACGAAGAGCCAAGCAGAACTTTTTCAGGGGTAGGGTCTTCTTGAGTACAATTTCTTGGTACCAGTTAGTACAGTCCGAACCATGTGACTTTGGTACTCTTTTGGTACCATTCGGGGTTCTCCCCTATGTATTGTACACATCCGGTACAAGTATAACCCCACTCCCATGAAAAATCTTCAAGCATGCTGGTGAATTGCTTCATCCCTTGAACCTGGGGCCTGTCCGATCAAATCATATGGGCATACATAAGAAAACTGCAAGCCTGTATGTGGGGTCGGCCTGAACCATCTTGAATTCAAATGAGAGGGGGTGATGGAGGCGGGACTCCTTCGGATCCGAGAACCCCTCCGTTTGAGTCATTTTGGGTGGTGGGGTGGGTATGGAGCACCCTCAACTACCCACCTTTGAACGAGTTTGAAACTCTACAATAGGGGGTGGGGGTAACACCCATTTCTCATTCCCCAAGCCCCCTCTCCCTGGACGAGCAAGAAGCGATGAAATGGTGCCTTCCTGACTCACCAGGATGAACTTTGATATTGAGAGACTTCGAATCCAACCCAACTGAGATAGAAATGAGATGAAGATCTCATATCATACCTGTAAGAGATGATCGAGCTTCTTTCTCAACTCTACAGGTTGGGCCAAGGTTTGAATCATCCATCCTGCAATGGAATATGCACCCTAGGTTCAAACAATCCGCGGGTGTACTTGCAAATATTCTTCGAAGACAAGATGAAATTTTTATGATCAGGTAAGGAATTGATAATCGATACACCATTGAACAGAATCAACTCTGATTGACCCTTTATTCAAATTGCCGTAGGTTGCACGTTGCGCTCAAATGCATGACTGTGATTTGTGAGAAATTTGTATCCAGCTGTACCTTGAGCGACTTTTCTGTCTAGATATGTGTTCTCATGTCATCACTTGCTTTCAATTCTTCTAGTCTTACAGTCAGGATTCATGCACTTCACCTTTCTATGGAGGCAAGTCTTACATGCACTCAACCGTTCAACGATACATGAAGAGACGTTTGCACAGAAGATGACTGTTCCTGCCCGCATAGATGACTGTAGAGAACCGTTGTTGATCATGAATCACTATATCTATGATCATATTTCGATGATTTTTCCGTTTCGCTTCAAATTTTTCCTCTGTCATGATATTTTCACAAGGATTTCGATTGCACAGAAACCTAGTCAGAAATGAAGCAATGTGCAGATGATGCCTTTGCGTATCAATAAATGAGACGTTCATCGGATCAATCCTGTCTTGGTGTCGCAATGCTACCGTGCAACTGTAGTGTTCTTGTCGCATGGCTCTACAGAGGAGTGCCTTGTTCAACAGAGCAAGCACTCGATGATTGCAATCGAGTCGCAAACACTGTGAATCAACAAACAGAATTGCACATTCAGGTTATCATATCTTTATTAGAAGAGTTACAAGCAGGGTACAAGCACAACCGACCTCCCTGTAATCCTGAAGACGTTCCATCTTTTGCCTGGCGAGGGTGTATCTGCGTTAACCAAGAAGCATGTGACATGTGGCCACATCTTGAATGCTCTACGGTCAGGAATATCAACATCTTCAAAACGGCTCTCTTGTTTGCTGTGACATCAACTGCTTGGTAGCGGCTCATCCGATGAACAGAATCTGATGCAAGTTCACACCAGTAATATTTACATGATGCATCAGTCAGTGTGATGAAATTGGTGATTTGCAAAATGTTTCATCGTTCCAACACATCCTTAAGAATTGGATGAAGAATCCTTCACGAACCACGGGACTTACTTGTCATCATTCGATTGTACTGAGGATCATCTTTGTTTCAAGCATCGAGCTGCTCCGACCGTGACTGCTAAAATGCGCTGTATCTGTTCATTTAGAACTTTCCGTTGAGCTTTTCCTTCAGTTTTGCATGTTCTTCCATGCAGTGAGATGACCATGTCAATATTTTGCCTAGACCTGATCGACTCCCGAGTCCTGAACTTATCTTTGTTTGTGCCCATTTCATGTCACAACCTTTTCACATCGGGACAGTTCTGCGATGTGTCGAAACCCCCTTCGTATGCAGCCATTGTCTCGAGAGTTTTGTATGCTGGGCGGCTTACTGGTACGTCTACGTACTCCTGGATACCGGTTTGTAATATTGGTTGGGCACTTGCCAAAGTCTTCACCCGTTCATCAATCTCATACAAGTTGCCAAAGGCTGCAAATCATTCCAACCTGCATCAAGAACACGTCATTTGGATCTCTTCCCGTGATAATTTCGATGAAAAAAAGAGATAATGCTCACCTGACTTGTCTTGCTCTGTCAAACGCTGCACATCCTCATATCTGTACGGCTTCGCAGAGTTCACAGTGGCGGGAAACTTTCAACATTGATATTTTTTATTTTGATATTTGATATCGTATTGGCGATGCATCATGATTGAGCTTCGGAGGGCCAGCCACGCCTGTGAAGGCCATAATGGCCATCAAAGCTGACTTGCGATGGGAGCGTGACACACAATGATTTCAGGCCGCAGGAGCGTGACACACAATGATTTCAGGCCGAACACCCCCTCAATTTTCAAGTTGTTCCAAGTAGGTTGGACTTGCTCCAAACTATATGGAACAACTTGAAACTTGGAGGAGCGTGACACACAATGATTTCAGGCCGCAGGAGCGTGACACACAATGATTTCAGGCCGAACACCCCCTCAATTTTCAAGTTGTTCCATGTAGGTTGGACTTGCTCCAAACTATATGGAACAACTTGAAACTTGGAGGAGCGTGACACACAATGATTTCAGGCCGCAGGAGCGTGACACACAATGATTTCAGGCCGAACACCCCCTCAATTTTCAAGTTGTTCCATGTAGGTTGGACTTGCTCCAAACTATATGGAACAACTTGAAACTTGGAGGAGCGTGACACACAATGATTTCAGGCCGCAGGAGCGTGACACACAATGATTTCAGGCCGAACACCCCCTCAATTTTCAAGTTGTTCCATGTAGGTTGGACTTGCTCCAAACTATATGGAACAACTTGGAGGAGCGTGACACACAATGATTTCAGGCCGCAGGAGCGTGACACACAATGATTTCAGGCCGAACACCCCCTCAATTTTCAAGTTGTTCCATGTAGGTTGGACTTGCTCCAAACTATATGGAACAACTTGAAACTTGGACTCCGGGAGCGTGACACACAATGATTTCAGGCCGAACACCCCCGGCTAATCGAATCAACCTCCACCGGTGACCTCACTGGCCAGACTCTATCAGGCTATTTAACCCAAGACCAAACACTATCTCTCAGTACACCTGAGATCCTTACCCCAACCTTATTCACCTGGCAACGATACACAGCTGTGCAGTCACGGTCTCTAACACATTCACTGATGATGATAGAACTCTCAGAAGAACCACACAACACCACCAACGTACAATGCACAGCGCCCTGGACACTGGCCACGTGTCCTGATTCCTTAATTCCAGACCTATGTCAAAGCCCACTTCCATCTGAGTCGCTGAGCTTCGTCTACCGATGAGACGCAATACCCTGAACTTCTCGCCGTCTCCAAGAACTTATCGGCGGCGAGTTCTTACACCCCCTCAATTTTCAAGTTGTTCCATGTAGGTTGGACTTGCTCCAAACTATATGGAACAACTTGAAACTTGGAGGAGCGTGACACTGGCACAAAGATTTCAGGCCGAACACCTCCTCAATTTTCAAGTTGTTCCATGTAGGTTGGACTTGCTTGCGCGGCAGTGACCGTGACACAAAGATCAAGTTTCAGGCCGAACACCCCCTCAATTCAAGTTCAAGTTGTTCCACAGTGAAATATTTTTTGTGGCCCTGAATCATTTCGGGCGCACTGAGTGTTCCAAGTTCCGACTGAAGCCTGGCATGCCATGTTATGTTAAGTTATGTTGACCTCCCTCGGAGTCCGACTGTCCAAGTGGGAAATAAGGAACCTGCCAGGAAATAAGGAACCTGCCAGGAAATAAGGAACCTGCCAGGAAATAAGGAACCTGCCAGGAAATAAGGAACCTGCCAGGAAATAAGGAACCTGCCAGGAAATAAGGAACCTGCCAGGAAATAAGGAACCTGCCAGGAAATAAGGAACCTGCCAGGAAATAAGGAACCTGCCAGGAAATAAGGAACCTGCCAGGAAATAAGGAACCTGCCAGGAAATAAGGAACCTGCCAGGAAATAAGGAACCTGCCAGGAAATAAGGAACCTGCCAGGAAATAAGGAACCTGCCAGGAAATAAGGAACCTGCCAGGAAATAAGGAACCTGCCAGGAAATAAGGAACCTGCCAGGAAATAAGGAACCTGCCAGGAAATAAGGAACCTGCCAGGAAATAAGGAACCTGCCAGGAAATAAGGAACCTGCCAGGAAATAAGGAACCTGCCAGGAAATAAGGAACCTGCCAGGAAATAAGGAACCTGCCAGGAAATAAGGAACCTGCCAGGAAATAAGGAACCTCCTAAACCCTAAACCCTATTATTATTATTATTATGTGAGTTTATTAGAATGCTAGAATGTTGCTCGGCCTCGTTGTGGGCTTATGCAATTTGAT